ATTGTACTTATACACCGCCTAAACCCTTCCTATCTTTCATTCATACAAACATACATTTCAATACACTGTCTCACTCACCTTCTATGGCATCCTGTACGTGCATACCAGGAGCCTTCCCCGCTGCAGGCAGCCTCGCCGGACCGCAAAGGGCCACGCACCAGCTCCGCGTTACCCGCAACCATAAGAATCAGAAAACCACAGATCATCCCAGTAGGCCACGGTGTAGTGCCTCCTGTCACATACATACCCAGCCCACCAGACAACCTCGAGCGGTTCTTGGGCAGCTCCGTTGAAATACCAACCAAGGCTCAAGCACCTTCCCGTTCTCGGCCAAAGCGTCTGACTACGCTTCCCGCTGGACACACGCATGTGGCTCAAGAGCGCATGCAGGACACGAGTACTATAGCTGAGGCTAGTTCAACCCGGACACTCGCCATCCCCCACAGCGCCTCGCAACTGACGTATCCACTACCACAGGAGCCTATACTGGCGCATACTCCGACCTATGGCATTGCAGAGACAAGGTCTTACACTCACACTAACACAGCCGCAAGGGGCGGGCACGCCCACACATACGATGCCACACACGCCCACGCCCACGCCCACGCACACGCACACGGATCATCAATCAGTGCAAACGCGGGTGTGGCGAGTGTCACGGCATTGGGTGTAGCCATCGACCGGCTGCACACAACCACACCTCTCCACACCCACGAGACACGGTCACCCACACCTACACTCGCACAGCCCGAGCGCCAGGGGCTGACTGTGGCGATACCTACATCACCCAGACGAACGGCACAGTTGGGTGTAGAGGGGACAGGACCACCGCGCACGACCTCGCCCATGAGCGACAGACTGCAGTCCAGGGCCATTAATGTGCCGTCACCGGTGGCTGCGGCGTCCTCAGATGAGAACGGTGTGTTGTGTATTGTATTGCTGTGTGGAACGTGTTGCTTGAGTATATGCTGGTTGTGTATGTACGCCAGGGTGGGGGAACATATCCCAGGCTCATAGATAGGGTGTAAGCCTGTGTAGTGATGCACACTTGACCTTAGCAGTCCAGTGCCATTATTATGCCGTCGTCACTGGCGGCTGCTGCGGCCTCGCTGGAGGTTGGCGTGCCGCGTGTTGTAGTTCTGTGTTGTATATTGTCGTACTGTCACAGTGTGTTGTCTTGTTGGGTTGTGCGGAAATGAAAGTTAGGGGTATGCAAGAGTGGTGTAAAGATGGAAGATATGTTTAGGGTTATATAGGGTATGGTTGCCTTGTTGAGTTGGATTGGCCTATGATTTATATATAGGTACCAACGAGTGGGATGAAGATCCGTACAAATTCATAATAGGGTGTCATACGCGATTGACTGTGCATTTGTCTTCCAGACACATGTCTGCAGGTGTTGCGGGGCTGCACATTCGCATATATTATACGGCTGATTCTGCTGTCTTTCAATAGACATACTCCTGCATATATAGGGATCTACATCCTCTCCCCATATACATAGCCTATCCCCACAGGTGATTCTTGACTTTAAATTGTTCTCCAGTAACATGCACAGTTTGGCAGTCCCTGCAATTCCATCTACATATTATTTAAACCCATACGGGATATGGTTCTGTTGTTTGGGCCATGCCATATCACTTCACTGATCATTTCAGTACGCCAATACCCACTCCCGCAACCGCACTCCCCATCGGCGGAGTTGTTTTCGTTTCCCTTATTTACATCGTATATATATTGTGCGCACCCAGTAGCGGATATTACAGAGCGTCTCAACAACCGCTACGACAGCGATTACGGCTCGTTTAACACATTCTTTGGCATGGGCAAGGCCATGGACACCGAGGTAAGCACTTCATTTGTTGGTACGGCTCACTAATGAGTATACTTGTGCATACACGTATACTTATGTTAATCTGTGTGCCCATGATGGTATGGCTAGCTAATGAGTATACTTGTGCATACAAGCATACTTCTGTTAATCTGTGTGGCCATGATGGTAAGGCTAACTAATGAGTATACTTGTGCATACACGTATACTTATGTTAATCTGTGTGGCCATGATGGTATGGCTAACTAATGAGTATACTTGTGCATACAAGCATACTTATATTAATCTGTGTGGCCATGATGGTATAGCTGACTAATGAGTATACTTGTGCATACAAGTATACTTATGTTAATCTGTGTGACCATGATGGTGCGAAGCTGAGGCATCCGTACTCGCGTGTAAACTATGGCACGGCACCTCCCGCGGGCAGTTGTTTTTTATTTTTCGAGGATGCTACGAGTGGGCATTCTTACATGTGTTTACATATAGTTACACATATAATTATACATATAGCTTAAGAACATTAGTTGGCTCATTGACTTCACAATGTTGTATTATATGATCCACACAGACCGGTCTGGCTTATATCAGTGAACGGGAGGCGATGCGAATCCCGCCGCAAGCGTTTGGCGGGAGTGTGCAACCAGAAGGTGAGAGCGTGTTGTCAGAAATGGTTAAATCACAGACGTATACACGCGGCTGTTAAGGTGCGCTAAAAAAATAACACCAGAGTGTGTGCGCGAGTGTGCCATACTTTGTTGTGCTTGTACAACCAATGCGTTACAGAGTACATACACCTGGGTGTAGTTGCACTCGTTGTGCGAGTCACTGCCTCTCCGTCACTGTGGGCATACTCTGCTGAATTGACGTCATATATCGCACCACCCAGTGTGCCATGTGAATGGGGCCACTCTCATTGAGCGTATTTGTGAGCTGTTCGACAACTGTCGTTGGTATGTGCGTAGTATGTACAGCCTCAGCAGGGCAAGACATATTAGCGTAACGTACGCGTGGAACGTCTGTCACCTGCTTGCACGTCCTGAGATTGCTTCCCAAACGACCGAGCCTTGTATACTTGACTAAACAGGCCTGTGCAACACACACGTGGAATGATCTTTGTTTCTTTCTTATTTCCTCTTCCTTCTTTACTTTCATTCAATATTTGTACAGGCGTTTTCACAGGCAGTCGTGGAATGATCTTTCTTATTTCTTCTTCCTTCTTTACTTTCATTCAATACCTGTACAGGATTTTTCACAGGCAGTTTGCTGTCTCAGTCGCCCGAGTGCCTCAGCGAACACCCCGCGAGTGCGGCTACCAGCACCCTGGACCTGCAGTACGCATTCCTCGTCACTAGCACGTATGTTTCAGTATACGTTTATACTCGTAGAACTGTGCGGTTCTATTTGACTATAGGGAATTGTGTGTATTGTCTTCGGTAGCATGCTACTACGACCACGCACGCATGCATTGTCTTCGGTAGCATGCTACTAAGACCACGCACGCATGCACGTACGCGCTTGTGCGGCCATCAGTATTAGTATGTGGTTGCAACGGAGAGTGTACACGTATATGTACGCTTCACCCGGCCAGCACGTAGATACCTGTGTGTGTGTATACATGTAGTGGCTATTCACCACCAGCACATGTGAGTACAGATAGGATGTAGTAACTGTGTTGTGTGCCCATCAGGATTCAGTCTTTACTACATGTGCATGTCGCCTGCACCGGCGCAATCTTATTTTGTGGGGGTTTAGGCATAGTGCTTAGTTTCAGCTATGTCATGGATTTATACAAAGCAACCGGAAAAGGGGATCAATTGCATGATAGTATAATAACTAGAGAAGTTGGATATGCTAGTTTGTGCTGGTAGTGCATGACTAGTGTGTTGATGTAAGTGATTGTGCAAGTACATGTGAGCGTGTGAGACTCCTGCATCCTGTACTATCGCTATGGCCTGCCTTCTCTTCATGTGCACCATCCCACGATCTTAAGTACGTCACATTCATATGCAGATTATCCACAAATCCCACACACATTCATGTCTCTAAATCCTACATACTAACATCACCTTGCTGTGGATCGCGTGATACACAAATAGTGACTGTTTCTGCATGTCTACATTGCGTCGTAGCCCGTGTGTTTCACTGCATCCTTAAGACTTGCTTTTGAGTAAGACGTGTCTGGCCACCTCGCCTGAGTAGTTTAACTTTCCGATATTGCATGCTTCAAGTTGCATTGCTACCCAGCGCTGTCCTTGCCGGGCGCCTTTCACATATAGTTGTGTGTCTCTCCTGCGCCTTCTTCTATCTAACCCACTAAAGCTCATCCCCGCAATCTATTAATAGCAACCACGATCCAGCTGTCTCACACGAAGACGCTGCCGATGTGCAGAGGCGCATGCCCACGCGACGCGATATACACAGGTATTTTCTCCATCACATGCGTCTATGATGTGTAAACGAATGAAACATTGTATAGTGGTTGGCTGGGTGTGGTTTGTGGTATCCATCACGACTACATAGCACCACCGCAGCCCGCATGCCTGTTGTCGCAATGGGGGGGGGACTTGAGACTTGGGAACTGAGGAAGTGAGAGGTGTTTGCCTAAGACAATCTCATCCTGTGTGACTACAGTGCATATGGTTGTCAGTCACATGTGCACGAGAGCGTGGTATCGCTCGCATGATATGTTGGATTGTGTGCGGTCGGTTGCTGGATGTTGTACTGCATCACACACTGACACATTGTTGAGAATTTTACTGACCCAGGCTATAGTCATGTATATCTTACCCTGATTCACACTTTACGTCGATGACTTTATTTGTACACCCAAATATGACAGAAATATGCGCGGGCGTCTGGAAAGCCTCGTGCACACGGCCACCGAAGACTGCAAACGCGATGTGCTGTGGGACGCATTTGTACAGCCAATCACTGGTGTGGCGTTTTATATATATATATATATATATGTAAATATATATATATATATGTGTGTGTGTGTGTGTGTGTGTGTAGGTATGTATGTATGTATTTGTATATGTAGGTATGTATACTTGTTTTATACGATTTAGGCACTCATTATATTTTGACGGTATTAATGTGGTGTCATTGACGTTGTGGCGAAAATTAAAGATTTTGTAGTAGTAGTTGTGTTTTACATGTTGGGTCTTGACAGTTATATCGGAATGATTTTTTCTTCCAAATTTGGTGTAGGTAAAACCGTGCCGGAGCTACAAGTGACCATCGGCGATTTGATGCAGCTGCAGAAGCTAGTGCACACCCGAGTGCTCTCAGAGGAGAAGCCCGTTCTCAAGGTATGGTTACGAAAATACCACGTGGCAACTCAATGTGCTGTCTATTCTGTAGTGCACATTGATACTGGGAAAGGAGATGTTAGGGAGTTGATGTGGAAGAGGTTGGACAGTGCATATGAGTACATGGGGGTGTTGTATCTGTAAGATGGCGTAGCGTATAGGTTTATGCGTGACCCATTTGTTTTCTTTGACGAAAGAATAGGTGCATGTGTGTATGTAGTGGCCGTACTCATATGTCATATGAACCCGCTGCTACATCTGGTGTGTTCATCCCCCTGTCAATTGTGCCGTTGGAGTACAGATCAGTAGATACGTAGTGTATCGGTGCATTGTGTAGCCTAAGGAATCTGCAGATTAACAACTTCACCGAGTCCTATTACAGAGCTGCATGAGTGTCCCAACTGCCAACGAGGTCGTATGAAAGATGTAAATTCGTCCTAACTATACCACCTTCGATATAGTAATTGGCGTACTTGCAGCTTCGTGTCAGTGTGCACTGGAACGTTCTGGCCACAAATCCGTTTTGGTTTGTTATGTAAATGTCCCTTACTAATGGACATTGTCTTGTCCTAAACTAGAGCCCGTCTGGGCCATGCGAGCTGGTATAACGCAATCTTAAATATCAGCGAATTGGAATTCCTCTTCGTTGGCCATGTGTACCTTCAGCATCCTATCCATATCCCATAGTACCCTTGCACAAAATGGCGAAGTATCAACTTTTGTCACCCAAATCCTCATTATTTGGCCTCAGCGACATAGTCATGAATGACCTTTGATCTCAACTATAGGAGCTACTGCGTACCAATGTTAGCTGGAATGACGTAACCAAGTACATCCGCCGGGCTACCGACTCCCAGATACTCATCTTCTATTCCGACGGCAAGCGCAAGAAGTCCACCTCCACCCTCAACACCAACCCCGCCTCTCGGCAGTCCTCTAGCACAAACAGCATAGCCGCTACTGCCGTGAACATTTTCCAGAGCGCCCTCAGCAATATGAGTGCACACAGCAGCAACACGTTCATTAGCACAGGCACAAACAACAGTACGGGCTGGGGCCTGGGCACGAGTACGCGCAGGCAAGTGCCAAGCGAAGGGGTGGTGGTGAGTGGCTCCAGTCGCAGTGACAGTACCAACACGATCGGAAGCACAGGCGGCAGCTGGGTGCTGGAGACAGACGTCGCCACGGCCAACGACGTGAGCTCTCGTTTCGCAGTCGTATTTCAGTGTTCTAAAGGGCGTGTATACATTAAACACAAACACACCCC